ATTCCACCGCGTCCCCCTTTTGCTTGAAGATGGGAACAATAGTACTCTTATTTGTTGTGACTGGTTCCACCATCAGCGGCCTGTCAACCTGGGCCTGATGCTGGAACCGTACCATTTTTGCAATTTTTCTAAGGCGTGGAGTTGCCTCAGCAGGGATCAGTCGAACCCGCACCTCCCTCCAAGTCCAGACGTGAGCCTACCTTGTTATCCACTCGGCTATCCCTGCCTCAGTTCCTCAATCTCCCATGGGTGCTAAAACCGACGAAGGGGTCTCTAACTCGCCACATACCCTATGCCCCTGCTATTTTGTCCGATACTGAAGCTGTATTTGCCCTGTACTTGACTCAGCTCGCTAATGCAACTGTATAGGTAAGCCCAATTAGACGTGTTCAATCAAACTCCCTTCTATGCTTCTGATCTATATGTACTGGACTCATCGCATTCATTTGCATTAAGAAAAATTACTGACTTGACTTGAAATACTGCCTTTTTCGCACATTATCCCCATCTCTACGTTGAGTCTTCAAAATTCTTGATTTATGGAACGCTAGACTCCGAAACAACCTGTTATTCTATTGAACCGAGAATTGCTCGGATTACAGTTCTCCGGGTCAACACGATGGAAACAGCTTGCGTTTTCAATTTTTTCCCTTCAGCATGGTTGGGCTAAATCATTTGTGGTTTATACATTGCGATTGTCGATCGTATAATAATTGGCTTTGTACCTTAGAACCCACCAAGCGAGTATCCATGAGTAATGTCGGCGAGGATTTCATGGATCGTCCTCCAGAAACAGATGACGAAGTTGGGGTAAGAGCCTTGTTCGGTGTAGAGCTGGTACGATGAATGCCTTCTCTTCTTTTAGAGCGACGAAATTTTAATCAGTGACAAGAAACTAAACAAGGAAAGGAAGGAAGAGACGGAATTCGTTCGCTCTTCTCCAGAGCAAATCACACAAAAGATTGAAGTAGGGTTACTCATTCTGCAGTGGATCTATGTCGTTAAAGTATGACCCCCATATCTTTTTTTTACGAAACTCATTTTCAGTATTCAACGAACAAGACGACTGAGGAATTTGAGAGGACCAGGGAACCTTCATCGCAGGTAATCACGTTCTCCTGTAGATCCTCTTCACGCGTTGTGCAGGAATTTAGGGGATGATATCTTTTAGAAGTGTTGTTTATTACCACCCCTGTCCAGTATGTAGTTGTTAACACTTTGATCTTGATTTTTCACTGATTATAATTGGTGTTTTTTGGGAAATACCAAATGTCATATTTGGAGAAAGACACAAACAGGTGCATGATTTCGCTGAAATTGCACTGTGTAGTTTTTGATGTTTTTTGTGGCAACAGTGCACTCTCGAGTGTTCATGGTTGAGGTCGAACCCTTTTTACGCTGCAGAAAGCCTTAGAAAGGGCTGTGGATATCAAGGTCACCTTGTTTAACACCAGTTGATTTTCCATGAATCTTCTGAAAGCCGAGGCATCCTGTAACATACGTCGAAGCTTGGAAGATTTGCGAGAGAACATCACTCGTGAAATAGTACAGTGGCTTTGAAAGCAATATTTAAGAAACTGTGGGACCTTTTCCAAGTGCCCTCGAGTTGAGGATCCTCATTTCCAGCACCTTTTATGATTCATCTTTATTTCAACTTCATAATGAACTAAGTATGCAATGTTCAATTTGTTTCCCGATTCTCATGCTAGGCCTCCATGTTCAATGTAATTCATATGCAAATTAAGCAAATAAACGTAAGTTCACTTTGAATGTGACCCCTGAACGCTCGTGCAGTTTCATAGATACAACAATTTTGGTGGTTTTACAGAAGAGGTTCATGTCTGGCGGATTCGGTTCTTCTCGTTCATCTGGTTTCGGCTCTTTTGTGAGTAACTGATTAGTTATTTATTCTTAGTGCTTCGGTACTTCTTGAGAGCTTCCTGAACTATCTACATAATGTTCATGGTTCTTGCTATGTAGCACTGTTAATAAGAAAAAGGAACAAACCTTCAGCCACGCGCTAGAGAACCAGGTTAGGCCTGGACGTATTACATTTCCAGTCGGCATTAGTTTTCCGACACTATATCAATAACCGTTCCGATCCTTCTGTTTCATTGTTTTTTCCAAGTTATATCCTCGGCCTTAGAGGCTTTTCAATTGTAGGGCTCAAGTTATACCGAAAAAGAAAATGTTCCTGCCTTCAACTGTGCGGAATTGTATAGTGCTGATAGAGGTGGTGGGTTTGATGGAGAGAGATCTGGAGGCGGCTCAGGAAGAGGCGATCAGCGAGGAGGACGTGGCAGAGGTTTCGATCGAGAAGCACGCTTCCGCGACAACTATCGTGATCGCGATGGACGTGATGGCAACGGTGATGGGTACCGACCAAGAGGTGGATATGGAGGAGGCGGCGGAAGAGATTCCCAGGTGGTTTTTCTAGCGACATTGACGTGAAACTCTTTTTATGGGACGTGTTTCTAGGGACGAAGTGGATTTCGAGGAGGCCGAAACTAGATACTTCCGGTTTCATTGTTTCGTGGTTTTTTTGATATGTTGTGTTACATTTATCTGGTTAGGGTGCATGCATACTTGATCATTTACAATTTATTTGTTAAAGAAGTGTAAATCTTACTGTGAATAATCTACTACAATGAATTTTTTCTGCTTGATGCGTTACCTTGCTTCTAATAGTTGCATCTACTGCTTCTTGAAATAACTCTGAAATTGTAGCTGAAATTAATTTTTGAGTATCTCCAGTCATCAACATCAACGCGGTGATGATCTTTGTGGCTTGCAAATTCCCGAGTATTAACATTTTTAGTACATATGTGTAAGGCACTACTGTTAAGTTCCTGATCCTTCGGCTTACTCGACAAGGTGCTCTGTTTTCATATACCACCTTGGTTTTCTGAGCTTGTCCATAGCTCAAACTCACCAGCTATGGACAGTGATGGTAGTTCTGTACCCCGAGTTTGTAACAACTTATGCAGCGGAGGACGAAATCAGGTAGAAATCTCCAGGGTTCCACCGCCTACATTTCAGAAAACATACTTGCGGTCAAAGCAAGCAGGTCGCAGGGCATATTTTCTGATTCAAATTGTTGGGATTCGATTTTTACATAATTGAATTTTGAAAACAGAAAAACGAGTTCATTTTTGTTCCGGCACGCTAGTGCTCATTTTGAGTTGAGGGTAATAATCGGGAGTCGCGATAGAATACAATTCTATTTCATTTCTGCTGATAGGCATTTTTCAAAAGTGGTACACTAGAGTCGTCAAGGCAATAATAAGTCACGTTACCGCGTGCCTGGTCCGAGTTTTTCACCCAAGATCGATTCCTGTCTAGGCAAACCAAACCCTCCATAGCTTCCTGTTTAATTGGTACCAAACTCGTCTCCGACGGATGAAAGTGCTGGCATGGGCTTCGACTTTCCCAGCAAGTCATTTTGTTGGCCGAACGCGCATTTCTCATAGAGCGAGGGTGTCTGGAAGTCGAACGCGTGAGTGCCTGTCTAGCGGAACTGACTCGATTTCCCAACTTGGGGAGGTAACGGTTTTTGAGATTAACTGGCCTCCTCATGAATGCCATGGGGCATTCTGATTGTGTGAACTGAATGTTTTTCAGTTACCATTACCATCTCTCATAGTATGTACATTCCATGGAAGGTTGGTTCCTCTGAGAGGTATAGTACAGTAGAGAATCGGGCAAAGGGCGAGAAAGAGGGAATGATCTCTCACATGCACGAACAAGCCATAATTCGTCCTTTCACGGATGCTGGCCTCGAAACCTCGCGTCGCGGCTGGCCCCCAGGAACCGGTCCAAGGCCTATGCGACGTCCCTTTACTCACACTACAACGTTTGCTTATTCCTTGGAATTTCTCACTTTCTCCATTTCAATGGTTACTCATCGAATTTATAGAGTAAATTACTTTGTTGTTCGTATGCTACTGACAGATCGGACACTGGCTTTCTCTTTTCTTAATGTGGGATTTGTTTCCATCTCAATAAATTTAATTGCCTCAAATTTTCCTCTCCGGATAATTACAATATAAAGGCACGGAGGGCAGAAATGCGCTCATCATGTTTGAAACTGTCCAGTTCATACTTTCCCAAATTCAAAATAAATCAGCGACTACTGAGTAGAAGTAACCGCCAAAGCTGTGAGCCAGAGTTTACTTAGATTACATCCTTTATGAACGTCACTATGTTAATTTTGCAACACATAGTTGAGAGGAAAACGTCTTTACTTCCCTGCGGTAACAGTGATTTGAATGTACTCAAGAGCTTGTTCTCGTATAGCTACTTCATAAGCAACCCCAAAACAAAGGCATAGCTCTTTCTACTCCCTTAACACATCATTCATTGTTGCACCTCACTTTTGGGTTAACTTGTGGAGGTCTTTGGAAAGAACATCCCAGAGGTCGCTACTGAAGATTACTATCGGATTTATTCGGACATGATTGAAGCAGTAGTCAACCATGAGTAATTAGACAGTGAAAGTTTGAAGGCAGTCAGGTTCTGAAGTGAAGCACCATGAATTACTATGACTTCCAAGGAGTAGGTGTTGGTTGTCAGGCAATCAATTTTTGAAAAGTAAACCTTTCCAAGTAAACTTTCAATTCTACGTATTTAAATATAATGTGAATTGATGTATTTCTCTTCCAACACAATCTTCCATCTCTTACTGTTATACAAAAAAAGCTTCCGGTCTGCTAATCCTGCTACTTTTGCTGTTCAGCTATTCTTGAGTTTTTCGTCTTTCTCCTCTGAGTTATTTCTTTATGAAAGAATAAGTCGAATGGACTTGCATTGACGTCATACAGAAAATTCCGTTTTAGCCGACCACGTATGTTACGACGTGTCGGCTATGTATTCAAATTTCTCTCACTATTTCAAATGCACGTAAGGTGCACGGCGTATCTGAAATGCAAACATTACTTTCCGTGATTCTTTTCTTAGAAGGAAAAAGCCTTCTTGCTTATGGTTGATTTGGCCCGCGGCTGCGCTCCCCTTCTTGAACGTCGCTGCGGGCTGGGCACCTGCATCGGTAAGCTCCTTCGTAAGGCTTCTGGTCAATAGACGATACTTTGTGAAAGAACCGGTGTCATCGAAACGGAGTAACCTTTTCAAAAAAACTTGTTTTAATTTATGATTCTTGAAATTGGCTTAGTCTAGAGTTTCAAGGGGGATGGGTTGATTAAGCTTGAAAAGGAATTGATCAATTCGGTGCCATAGACAGTTCTTCATCACGACTGGGCAATTTTGGTAACAGAGNAGAGTGTCATGTGCAAGGTTGTTATCTACTAGCAAGCAAAATGGATTCAGAGTTTGCAAATCTGTTATTGGAACACGTACTTCATTGTTGTTGTGGTATCAGTGCAAATGAGCCATTTTCTTTGCATGCCTCAATATTTTTTGCTGTACGAAATGCACATGTACCACACCACGATGTGGAGTATTTACAGTCAAGAAAAAGTGTTATTGCAGTTCACTGCAGGTATCTGCTAAGTTTTTTCTCTCCGACTCCCCGTCCCTCCTTGGTTGACCTAATTTCCCTACTTCCTTGTCCATAGAAAAGCTTTTTCAGGGAAGGTGTAGCGTTGGAAACTGCCTTCCATGAACTCGTTTCAAGACACTTACTTCCTCTGAAACTTTTCGTTCCAGCATGATGTAGCTGGTTATCTCAACTATTCGTTTAATAGAAACTCTATTCTACCCATTATGCGTCGATCCAAAATGAACCGCTAGCATTTCTGTTAAAGACACAGTTCACGATAATTTTGAGGTACCCTTTTTAAGTCGAAAAGCGGAAGTCTTCGTCGGGAATAATGGATCGGTGGTTAAGGAAGCGAAAGAGTTCATCGATTCCGAGAAAAATAAGGCTCTCAAAAAAGGTGAAAATAGAGCTTGGACGAGATCAGCATGACGGAAAAAACATGGAAGTGGTATTAGGACGAGATTTCAGCCGTCGCAGTTTCGCAAAAAGCTAGCTACATCGAGCCAAACTGGCAAGAATTGCCTTTCGCTATTGCCATGGACAAGTTGTTTGAACTTCATTCATGAGCTTCCTTATGAATGATGCAACTTCAACAATGTCATTGTAACTCGTCCGCATATTACACGGTACAAATTTTGAGCCTTTATGACGCCCTACCTAGGCCGCTTCCCGACCTAATAGCGCCAGATATGGTATACAAGGGGACCTCAAATTCATCCTATGGGGATATCTCAGAAAACATTCTTATCGTGAACTGTGCCTTTAATTACTCCCCTTCACTCAAACAGCTATAGGGTCATTTCGGCACAGGAAGAACTCGGCAGGGTGGTGGGGCCATACCAATGCCTTACATCCCCGATAGGAGGCGCCCCCTTATCACCAATCGAGCAACCTCGTTGTGCACTTTATGGCAACCATATTCCACATTTCGATTACATTAATGTGGTTTTGTGCTCGATTTTCCAAGTCTACAAAAACATAGGCGGCGCAAAGAAAGTGTGCTCGGCGTGAAAAATCAACCATTCTCTGTCAAATTGCAGGCTTTCTATTTCTTATGTTTAGAAAGCTGGGCCTAAATATTGTCAAGAAGGCAAAAGTGGTGGTTTAAACATAAGCCATCCGCTGTATTCTAGATTACTCCTTGCGTTATTCACTCAGATTTTTTGTGTCGTGAGTTAGAGCGATACGTGGGTCCCACATCAGCGCCTACTGCTTTATTATAAACCTTTTAGGTACCTATGTTGGCACGTAGCCTCCTTAACCAATCAAATTTGGAGAATTTCATCTTCATGAGATTACTATACCGAGTGAGCTTCCTCACATAAGTTCGGAACCAGTCAAATCCGTTCCACATGCTCGAAGGTTGTGTTATCAGTACATCGTTGATGATTCGAATGTGATGCAGTTAACGGCCTCTCATCTTCGTTTCCACCCCCTTTCCCTTCACTCTCAGCTACCTCTGTGAGTTGGCTGAGAAATTGCCATGAGGACACAGCATCAGAGCTCAGCAGGAGGACGTGAACGGAATGGAGAACATTCAGAAATATCTTGACAATAGCAGAAAGGCGTAGGAGCTTAATTACTTTTTGATTCCACATACTGGACAGTGCGCTTCCACAAAAGGGCGAACTTGCTTGCCTTGTACAGTTTGCAGATAAAAAGGCTGTAATCGAAATTCTGAATATATTTGATTGTTCCGAGAATTCTAAGCATTGAGATGTTTGGTGTTCGAACTCCTTCAACAGCCGAGGATCAGACGGGTCTGTTGTGTCGTGCGATTAAGAGGAGAAATTGTAGTGGAACAGATTGTGGCTAAATCCTTCTGCTCATCGAAGCAGAAATTCGAGGACCTCCCGCCGATAATCAGAGCTTTCGTTGAGACTACGGAGAAAGTATGGATGACTCTATACTACATACAGAAGCGAAACGAAGCTAGATTGATTCGGTCGTCGCGAGGACTGTTGAATGCAATGGTTCTGTGCGCCGGAATGCCTATGTCCTATTCATCACAGTGAGAACAACAACCGTCTTTTCACATGGCCTTAGTTGAATGTCTAATGTCTTGAATTTTATGAACCATAGGTGGTAATATGTTT